ATATGGTCCGTTAACCCGTTTGCCACCCCTACACATATCCAAAGGGCATATTCTTTAATAAATATACCCAATTACCTTTTTGAATGGAATATTGCCAATTACCTGTAGCTAAGGCTGTATGTGGTCCCGGGCCCGGGCCTAAACGGGCTAAACGGGCCGGGCTAAACGGGCCTGGGCTTAGCGGTCCCGGGCTTCGCGGTCCCGGGCTTCGTGGGCTCAACGGGTAGGACCAGCCCGTGACGGGCCTAAGCCCATATGGTCCTGGGCTAAATGGGTCGGGCTCGTGGGCTTAGCGGGCCTAACGGGCTTTTTTTATTTTCGGGCTTTTTTTTTTAATTTTTTTTTATTTAGGGCAATTTCTTGTAAACCATATGTGTATGTATATATATAAATTGCTCTTATGCATGGCTATATAAATATATGTGGTATATATAATATAGAAATCTAATTATTAAAGTGTTTGACGAAAATGTAAAATAACAAATCAATTGTAAAACTAAATTGGCATGCATAATAAATTAATAACAAAGTACAACATGAAGCATAAATACGTCTAATAATTTTAAAATAACACAAATTGTTGAAAAATCTTAAAGACGAATTTGCGGATAAATACCCTCAACACAATACTTTATATGCCTCCTTAAAATGCCTGTGGTACACCCTGAACGAAAATTTAAGACTCTTCCACAGTTCTTGCACTTTAATATTTGGCCTTCTTCATTTTCTTCAAGCACTTCATAGTATTGCGACACAAATAAGCGCACTCTTTCCGAACGAGGCATGGCGATATTGAGACAAATTTGAATCGAGTGGATATAGTGGTGGATTATGTCTTTGCATATAATATTGCATCTAGCATTATGCAAGAAAGTGAGGATCTTGAACCTCAGTCTGTTGGAGAATGTCGACAAAGACGTGATTGGCCAAAATGGCAAGAAGCAATCCAATTAGAGTTGAACTCACTAGCGAAACATGAAGTTTTTGNGCCACAAGCAGCAGGTAACCATGCAAATCAAATGACGAGGAGCAACAAGAAGAAGGAAATAAAGACCCAGAGGGCCTAGAGCAAGGTCAAGAAGTTAGCTCATTAGACGGATGGCTACCCAGGGAGCTGGTAGCAGATCTGTACTTAGCTCTTACTAAGCAGCCTCTAACCTAAATGAGTTCAGTTGCCTGGGTTAGTTCCTTAAGGATAGTGGGGGCCGAATCAACTGGGTCACCGGTAAAGAACCTCTACTTAAGAAAAAATCATAAGAGAAGAAAGCTGCTAGCAGAGGGTGGAGAAGTGCCACACCTTCGTGGATTGATCGAGTGTAGCGTACTGATTCTTATCGAGATTGGGTTGGTGTTCAGTGTGGGCAGTCTCCTCTATCAAAATAGTAAGAGAAAAAGAAGGACTTATCTCAGATCTTTACCTTTCACATTTTTATTTCTCCTAATTTGAATTCCTCTCCTATGTTCTCAAAAACGCTTCCCTTTTTACTTGAATTTTCAGCGATCGTTTTTTCAACTATTTTAGCGATTATGATAGAGATAAAGCTCTTTAGATGGTGTTTTCTATTGTATAATTATTTATTGTTCGAGTTGGAGTTAGAAATACATCAGGATTTCGTGTGCTTACTTATCTTGCTTTTGGTTTTCGTATCATGGATCTTGGGTCGCACTTTATGGCATTTCTACTATAAAAATAATCCAGACATTTGTCGTGTACCTATTATGGAAAGCGTTTGGACTCTGTCTCTTTTGCTTTCCTTCTCTTTTTTCTTTGATGAATTGTTGTTAGAAACGGTAGACTGCGCAGGAAAGGATTCGGGTGGGGGAGCGTCTACCTCCTCTCCCAAGCCTGATGAATGGCAAATGGCGCTAGATCTACCGGATAATCAAGTTGTACCGGAATGTCTACGCTCCCATATTAAAGAAGAGTTAAGATACCTCTTTAATATCGGGCGAAAGACGACCCTTTCCGATGCTATGTTTGACAACTTTATTTCCCCCTTGGCCTTAGATGAGGCAAAAGTGGGTTTTGCTAAAGCTCTCCTTCAAAGAATAAATGAGCTTCAATTATTTCATTACAATAGAGGGGATCACATTCCCTTTAAATTCTCCTCGAGAGAGGAGAAAGAAAGACTCTTTTCTATTGCTTGGGAATACGCGGACAAATTACCCGACGAATAATAGGTACCCACACCCCAGGCAGAGTTAGTGAGCCGTGTAATAGGCGACCATTTCGCGAGGTTCGGGGGGCACTTGAGTCAGCCGCCGGCGCACGACAGCGTCTTGACCCCCATCCAATTTTTGGGCCAATTCCCCCTTCGTACTACCAAAAAATGAGATTCTTGCCGAATCCGAGTTTGCTGCTCCAACCATTACCAAACTAATACCTATTCTGTTTAGTACTTCAGGTGCTTATGTTGCGTATAATGTTAATCCCGTAGCGGATTAATTCCAACGAGCCTTTCAAACTAGTACTATTAGTAATCGACTCTATAGCTTCTTCAATAAATGCTGGTTTTCCGATCAAGTTTTGAATGACTTTCTAGTCAGATCGTTCCTGCGTTTCGGATATGAAGTCTCCTTCGAAGCTTTAGACAAAGGTGCTATTGAGATATTGGGCCCTTATGGTATCTCGTACACATTCTGACGATTGGCCGAGCGAATAAGTCAACTTCAAAGTGGATTTGTTGTGCGAAGAGTGCGTTATGACCCGTGGCCGCCTGCCTGGTGGGGGCGGCTCCTCCGTTGTGGGTAAACGGGAAACCCAACTCTACGAACCCGAGGAAAGGCTGCACAGCAGTAGTAGGGGCGTTAAGACCGGAGCTTTTTGTAGTGCTAGCAGGAATGCAAGTGAATGAATCCCATCCCCTAACGAGTGAAGTGCTTACGCCCCTTTAGAGATAGGGGCGAGCAAAAGAGCTCGTTCTTCCATTTTGAGATCTTTAGATTCTAAAGATCATAATAGAGTCCCTTTACTTTCTATTATATTAGTCAAGCGCTAGCGCCCTACAACTAGTATAGTATAGCAGAGCAGCCAGCTTCAAAGCTTACCGGAAAAAAAAAATAAGTATTATAAAAAAAGAGAAAGGTTAGGGGGCTGAGAAGCTCTTGCTTGCTGCTTGCTGTCTACTTCGCGAGCCTTCACTGCCCCGTTCTGTAACTTCCCTTCTTTCGTCCGTCCACGAGGCTGTAAAAAGAGAGAAAGGGGCGGCTATCTAGCGGGAGTCGTTTCGGTTGTATGCCACGAGGTCCCTATGGACAAGGGGACAAGTGAATCATCGTTTTTGCATTATCCACTCCTCGTCTATCCAATGACTTGTAATAGTTAGATAATCACAGTCATTATTACTTCTACCAATATCAGTAGTAATAGAAATCTGATTAGTTATATGAGTAAATAAATACCGCAAATATTGTTCATATTCATGTTTATATTTATAAATATCGCTCTTAACTGTTGCGCGAGGCCAACCTTTATAAGTAGGATTAAAAACTTTTCTAATATAATGCACAAAATTAGGGTTAGAAGGAAAAGTATATGGTAAGCACATAACAGTAACCATCTTTGCTAATTCTTCACGATCTTTATTAGGATCGTAATATAAAATACCACCGGTCACAGTGTTAATTCCTGGTTGAACTAGATTTGAACCTGTACTAGGGTTAACCGCAGTATCTACACTTGTCCCCTCTTGCTGCGCTTTCATTTGTAAATATTTAACTTTATCTGTAGGGTGTGTTTGTATGTGCCTAGCCAAACTACCCGTACCGCTACGGTCTCCAGTATATTTATGCGCCAGCAATTTCCCACAAGTTTTACACCTAGCCTTATTTTGTTCTCTTACTTGAGTAAAAAAATTCCAAACTAATGATGTTTCTAGGCGTTTAGAAGGTTGTCTATTAAAAGTAGGGGTTTCTACAGGTGGGTCAGGCGGGGCATCAGTTGGGTTATTAATAGGACTAGTAGGTGAATCATCTAAATCCGGTTGGGTTCCATCTACATCCTCATTTTCCTCATCATTTTCTAAGATAGTTTGATTAGGATAAAGAGCATTCATAACTTCTTCATTTAATTGTTCACCTTGTGCAACATTATGGCAAAATTTACTATCGGAAAATTAAAAACAAGGGTTATCACTATCAAGAATAATAGGAGCAGCAGGACGGGTAATAGGTCTGGGTCGGGGAGCCGGGGGAAGGGTAGTAGGTTGGAGACTACTTTCACCAATTTTAGCTTTTCCCTTACCACCAAACATTTTTTTCAAAGAAAATGCCATATTAATTACAATTATGCAAACTAAACACACAAAAATATATTCTTAAAAGTTAAGAGTTGGAACGAGTTTATCGAATTGCCGAACAACTTCTTGAAAATTGAAAATCGTTGAAGACTTGAAGACTTGAATACTTCAATTCACCAACTTCACAATTTTTCACGAAATTGCAATAATAAAATAAGCAATTATAGAAGAGAAATTAGATATAGATTGAGAGAGATTGAGATAGATTGATGAATTGGTGAGTAAAAATGAAAGAATGAGGGGGTATTTATAGTTGAGAATTGGGGAAAAGTGTAATTATATAAAGTTTGGGGCCAAATGGCTATTTTTTAAAGTTCCAAACGGTTGAAAATTAAAGGCCAACGGCTAGATTTTAAAATCTGACCGTTGGCTATTTTTTAAAAAAAAAAATTTTTTTTTTTTTTAAAAAATAGCCGTTGGAGCCCGTTAGGCCCGGTTGAACCGGCCCAGGACCGCCTGCCGGTCCCGAGCTTAGCGGTCCCGGTCTCGTGGGCCTCGTGTACAAGACCGGCCCGTCACGGGCTTCCTACCCATTAAGGGACCGGCCCACTAGGACCGACCCGCCGGGACCGTTTAGCCCGTTAGGACCGCGGGCCCGGTCCGGTCCCGGTCCCAGACCGGCCCACCAAACAGCCTTACCTGTAGCTGTAATCATATTGTCAATGCTTTAATGTTACAAGCATAAATCTCTCCATACGTAGAAATTGACACTTACGCATATCCAACCATTTTAACTTGTACTATTGACTAGTGACTGTATTTGAGCCCCCCCCTCTCTCTCTCTCTCTCTCAACTCGAAATTAGTTCTAAATTTTGAAAAAAATCTGAGAAATTAGTAATGGAGGGGACGATTCGATGCTCAGCAAATTATGTGCCGTTGAGTCCAATAAGCTTTTTGGAAAGAGCAGCAGTGGTGTACGGCAACAGAGTTTCTATTGTTTATGGGGATGTTAAGTTTACTTGGGCTGAGACCCGCCAAAGGTGCCTCAAACTCGCTTCAGCTCTGATCCAGCTTGGGATTTCTCGCGGTGATGTCGTAATGTTCTTGTCTTCCTTATTTTGCTTCATTTCCTCTGTTTTCTCTCTAAAAGAATTATCAAGTTTCAATCACAATTTAACTTCAAACTTATTATTTTATGCTTAATGAAATAATTTGTGGCTTGCTTTAAGCAATAATTTTATGTCAACGACAAATATTTGATTCATTAGATATCACAATTGGAATTTATTGTTATGACTCCAAATTCAATGGACCACCAATCATTTTTATGCTGTTAGGTCCTTCAATTCTTACCATGTTAGCTATGTTTTTTAAATATAACTAAGAACCTGTATATTCAGTAAACTGGGTGTTAAAATGGGTTGATTATATGACCTTTTTTTTATTAAGCAAATTAAGATTGTCACGTCAGTTTTCTAGCCAAAAATGAATTTTATGTTACCAAAAAAAATGACTTTTGTTGTTATAAAGAATGACCATTGGTGAAATTTACTCCAAGGCGGAGGGTGTATCTTTTTTCTTTTTAATCTTAAATTATTCACCTTCTCCCTCAAACTCTACTTATATGTGTCTGCAAAAACTGAGCCCAGATGAAGCGAGCGTTTGGTAACGACCCAGTAAAATTTCACTTGTGTGGTCTGGGGAGGGTAGTATTTATGCAGATCTTACCCTTACCCGAGGGAGTAGAGAGGCTATTTCCGAAAGACCCTCGGCTCAAGAAGACGAAAAGAGACAAGATATCAGTACGAACAACAAAAACTATAGAAATAATAACAGCATCATAAAAACCAAAAAATAGATGAAAAGCAAAAGCAAAACTAGTAAATAGACCCGGCACTACGAGAGTTTGGTAATTATGAATTAGGTAGGTCTAACGGATAAAACAATAGTGTAATTATGATCAGTCTTGAGTGTGGTAGGTTTAGTCTTTAATCGGATTTAGAAGTCTTTAATGTTGAAGTTTCCTTTCCAATATGTCCTTTCTCTGATCAGTTGCAAATAATTTATTTTTGCTCTGAATGTGGGTGAGAAATTCTCTCCTCCTCATCTTGTTTTGGTATTAATTGGAGTTGCTTTCTCCAAAAAGGAGGACCTTGAACAATTGTTGTGGATGCCTAGTCATGGATAAGTCATTATTAATTGTTTTTTGTTATTTTGTTACTCTTGGTGCTTTAAATGGACCCTATGGCTAAGTTATTTTTGTGTCACTGACTTCAAAAGACGGCAAATTCATACAGCTGTCAATATACAGCAAACAAGCTTCTGCATTGATTATTATTCAAAGAATTACAAGAAAATACATATGACTTCACACCATAACAAAAAATAATCCATGTTTTTAAGTTTTATCCGACCTAACCCATATTGTACATATTTTGAAAACAATAGCTCTTGCAAATTTGTTCTTACAACCATTGCTTCTAAAAGCTATGGAATTAAATCTGTGTTCTCACAATCATTGCTTTCACTCTCTCTTCTTCTCACATCTTTTACATATGCTTCAAGGGGCCGTCCGCCATTATTGCTTCTCCCCCTATGTCACTTGGTTGCAGTGTAAAAAAATTGAAGAGTATAAGTCCACCATTGAAGGCCATTCAAAGCTTTGCTTTCGAAAATATGACTTTTTGAATGTTTGTTGCTTGGATTGGGTGTTGTTCTAATTGATTGTAAATATCAAAAGGAGTTCAAAATTTAAATTTGAAGTGATTTGGAGTAGATTTGAGCAAGATTTGAGTTAAATTTCAGAAAAGACGCAAGGAAGAAGACTAACAATTTTTGTATAATTATGTATAATCTTGTATAATAGTGTATATGAGTATAAACACATCTTACACACTATTATACACTTTCATACACCTTTATACAAGTATATGTAGACGAACTTTTCCACGATTTTCAGTTGCAATTCTTGTTCAAAACCAGTCCAAATCTCAATTAAATGACTTCAAATTTTATATACAACCTCCTTATAGTATTTCTAACAAGTCTAAATAACATTCACTCCAAATTTCTCACAAAATCAAATTTGGAATTTAAACCCACATATTTAAGCTTGTTAAAAATCTAATTTTCACCAACCAAATGGATTTGGTTTGTTGAACTAATATTTGAGTCACATTTACTGATTCGAAAATTAACTTAAAAGCTTGAGCAGTCTTTTTTAAAACTTAAATAGTAATTTTGAGAACCTATTGGAGTTGGATGTTAAATCTTAGCCTATTATTTTTGGGCTAGTTGGTTGTAAATTGAAATATCGGCTATAAAATTGAAAAGTAGGAGCCCACTTGTTCTAATGTGAAATTTTCCCTTATTATTATTTGTGTATATTCCAGTATTATATGAAGTACTAGTATTTAATTTTACCAAAAAATTCAATTTGATATTTTTTTTTCCATTGTTGCCTTGAAATTACCTCTTGGAATTCATACTCGTGAACTTTATGATGAATGTTGATATTATTGTAGGCGAATCTTCCCATAGTGACTGATGAAGTACATATGCTACTTTCTTAGAGGACTGATTTGGTTTTCAGGATGAAATTTCTCAAGCATGTAGGATAATCGGGAAAGGCCAAAAGCCATCCCTTATCTTTGAGCTTAGACTCAAAATCGTTCATATTCTTGTGCATGGAGAACTATTATTCTTTATGACTCTTACTTGCTGCTCAGGTGATATTGCAATTAGCCCTTGTGCTACCAATGACCAGAGCAGCACCAACACGAGCTCTCGTGGCTCATGAAAGGTTGCATAATTTGGAAGTAGACCCTCTCAATGTCTATGATCCATGATCATCAAAGAGAAACACTACTTGTCTACCGGGTTTCCGTCATATCCTCTCATGTAACTCAGCAAAGAACTCCAGTTTTCTTTTGAAAATAACTCGCTGAGACGTGACTTAAAGGTGGACAAAAGACAATTTGTCTTTAACATATAACTCCTCCCCCCCCCCAACTATAATAGAAAGAATAAGTGGAGAAAAAGAAAGTAAAAGGAGATGGAAATATTTATGTGCACTAACTTTTTAATCTTCCAATAGCTTTACCCGTGATGAAAACAGCCTCCAAGATTTCACCAGACTGTTCAAAGTATTTATTTATTCATGGTCTTCTTTGAGTCTACCAAGCGAAACCACCTACAAGCACCTTGGTGTAACTGGTGTATCCGCGTTGATGCATAACGTCTGATGGAGTCATCTTACGAATACTTATAAAACCTATGATTTTTCTTCGAGTTCTATCTCGTCAAAGACTTGTTCACAGAACTACTCTGTCATAAATAACAGCTGCATGGGGAGGGATCAGAAGTTACCACTTTCACAATCAATGATAGTGTTTTATGTCAAAGAATAGGGATGCATTTGATTGTAAGCTCAAAGATTAGCAACTATCGGGCCTTTTCTCTTGGATAATTATATACTGAGTGATGTTTTCATTGTTTTATCAAGTTTCAATTACTTGGAGAATCTAAACAAAGTTAGACGTTGCCAAGCATCTGCCTTCTCTTCAGTGTTAGCTAATCTTGTTTCTGTTTTTTTATCTCTTAAAAAAGTGTGCATTCTCGTACTCGTGCTGCCCTTATTCTTTACTAATTATAAGCAGGTTGCTGCCTTGGCTCCAAATATTCCTGCTATGTATGAGGTACACTTTGGGGTGCCTATGGCTGGGGCAGTTCTTTGTACTCTTAATGTTCGTCTCGATTCAGCAATGGTGTCAGTGTTGCTCAAACATTCAGAGGCAAAAGTCATATTTGTAGATTATCAGTTCCTTGATATTGCTAAGGGCGCATTAAAAATTCTTTCGAAGGAAAGGATCAAATTGCCTTATCTAGTCCTAATCCCCGACTGTGACAGGCAGCTACCTATTGTTCATAATAGGACATTGATACCGGGAGATCTGGAATACGAGTCATTTCTAGTGACTGGGAAACCTAATTTTGAGATAGTATGGCCAAGTGATGAATGGGATGCCATTGCTCTGAATTATACTTCAGGTACAACATCCAGTCCAAAAGGGGTTGTCTACAGTCACAGAGGAGCATATCTTAATTCTCTTGCTGCAGTTCTTCTCAATGAAATGCCTTTAATGCCTGTCTACTTATGGTGTGTTCCCATGTTTCATTGCAATGGATGGTGTCTAACTTGGGGCGTTGCAGCACAGGGTGGTAAAAATGTTTGTCTTAGGAATGTTACAGCAGCAGGAATTTTTACAAGCATAGCTGGGCACCAAGTGAGCCACATGGGTGGTGCGCCTACAGTTTTAAACATGATAATAAATGCACCTCCTAGTGTTCGGAGGTCACTTCCAAGGAAAGTAGCAGTGATGACTGGTGGTGCACCACCACCACCTCAAGTGCTATTTAAGATGGAGGAGCTTGGTTTTGATGTAACTCACTCATATGGTCTAACTGAAACCTATGGTCCAGGAACGGTTTGCACTTGGAAACCTGAGTGGAGTTCTTTGTCACCTGATGAGCAGGCAAAGATCAAGTCTCGTCAGGGATTGCACCACATTGGCATGGAGGAAGTAGATGTGAAGGATCCAGCTTCAATGAAGAGCATACCGCCAGATGCAAAAACCATGGGTGAGGTAATGTTTAGAGGAAACACTGTAATGAATGGGTACTTGAAGAATCTCAAAGCCACAGAAGATGCTTTCAAAGGGGGTTGGTTTCGAAGTGGAGACCTTGCAGTGAAACACCCCGATGGTTACATTGAATTGAAGGATCGCGCAAAGGACATCATTATTTCAGGTGGAGAAAACATTAGCACGATTGAGGTGGAGTCGGTGATATTCAGCCATCCAGCCGTTCTTGAGGCTGCTGTGGTCGGAAGACCAGATGATTACTGGGGTGAGACGCCTTGTGCCTTTGTGAAACTAAAGGATGGTAATAATGCAACTGCCGATGAAATCATCAACTACTGCCGTGATCGTTTACCACGTTACATGGCTCCTAAAACAGTAATTTTCGATGATTTGCCCAAAACTTCTACAGGAAAGACACAAAAATTTGTTTTGAGACAGAGGGCCAAAGCTATGGGGAGTATCTCAAAGGCCAGCAAACTATAATTCATAACTTTCCAGTGTTGTGGATAGACTGATAACATTATTGCTATAATGAGATATGGTGGCCTCTGTTTTATTTGATTGAATCACATTTATGTTGTGGGAATGCCTGTTGTATATGATAATCTACAAATTTCATAGCCATTTAAGCTGCACAACCGCAAGGTTAGCAAGTAAATGCTTATAGCATTGTTTCATTAAAAGTTAACTTGTGGTATCTTGGTGACTTTTGGTTACAACATACCAAAATAACTACCTATGTGACTTTTTGACCTTGTGGTTTTCTGGAGGGATATTATTTTTCATGAAAATTTATCTCCGGTAAGCAGGAGCAGCGCTAGGTGGCAGAAGGGTATTCAGTTAAATACTCTTCGCATTTTTTCTTCAGATATATATATTAGATATTGAAACCCTTAGCTTTTTCACGTGTTTACTTTTTTTATTTTTTTGAATCGACTTGATGAAAATTCTGCTTCCGCCACTGGTGTTAAGGACATGACTTCTTTTGAAAATATGTTCTCACCGAAAGGAAGGGAAGACTTGGAGTAACAATAAAGTTGTCTTTGTATTACCTATAGGTCACAAGTTCGAACAGTGGAAGCAGCCGCTAATGACTGCATTAAAGTAGGGTGTCTACGTCAGACTTCTTGGGCTACGGTCCTTCCCCGGACCCTACGTGAATACCGGATGCTTTGTACATCGAGCTGTCCTTTTTTTTTTTTTCCTTCTCATTCGAAGATATCCTCTCCAAAGGACATGCCAATTCATGAAAGTATGTTTTATCGAAAGACTAGGTGGCGATGGCCGTGCCAGTTCGGGCCCAACATGTATCTAGTTTTATTTTTCAATTGCGGTGATGATAGTAGATAAAATACTCTATATTGAAATAAAAATAGATGACGATATTCCAAAAAGAGTCTTCGATACTATATGAGCCTAATTTTGCTCTTCTATTTACAGTATCTGCAAAAAAACAATGCTCTTTCAACTCCGCTTGTTCTCTTTTTCAACTAGTATGTAATTGCGCAATAGTGTTTGCTATTAGGTTGCGTAGTCTTGTCGGGGGCGGCCCGGCGAATTTTGTGCTAAAGCAAAATTTTATGAGGGGCTTGTGACGACCCGGCCGATCGTCTTAAGAATTAACGCCCCGATCCCCTATTAACTGCTTTCCCCGTGTTTATTTCTGCTATTTTAGTTTGCCGGGATGTTCGGTTTTAATTTCGGAGAGTTTTGGGACACTTAGTCCCTAAATGAGAGCTTAAGTCTTGGAAATTTTAACCATAGTCGGAACAGTGTGAAGACGGCCTCGGAATGGAAATTCGATGGTTCCGTTAGCTCCGTTGGGTGATTTCGGGCTTAGGGGCGTGTTCAGATTGTGTTTTGGAGGTCCGTAGCTAATTTAGGCTTGAAATGCCGAAAGTGGAATTTTTGAAGATTCCGGTTCGATAGTGAGATTTTGATCCGAGGGTCGGAATGGAATTTCGAGAGTGACAGTAGTTGCGTTATGTCATTTGGGATGTGTGTGCAAAATTTCAGGTCATTCGGACGTAGTTTGGTTGGATTTTTGATCAAAAGCGAAATTCGGAAGATTTTGAAAACTTAGGCTTGAATCCGATGTGTTTTGGTTGATTTGATGTCGTTTGAGGTGTTTTGAAGATTGGTACAAGTTTGAATAAGGTTTTAGGATATGTTGATGCCTTTGGTTGAGGTCCCGGGGGCCTCGGGTGTGTTTCGGATGCTCAACGGATCATTCTAAGTTGTAAAAATGTTGCAGATTTTGTTCAGCTGTTGCAGAGGAATTTTACCCTTCACGTTCGCGAGTAGACTCTCGCGTTCGTGAAGAGTCAGTTGAGGAAGGTGAAATTTAAGCCTTCGCGTTCGCAAGGGAGGCACCGCGTTTGCGAAGGGCTAAGTGTTTGTGCATCGCGTTCGCGGGGCGGGCATCGCGCGCGTAGAGTCTTTTGGTCAGCTGGGTCTGAGGTCGAATTTGTTCATCGCGTTCGCGATAGTGGGAGTGCGTTCGCGAAGGGTAAGCTTGAGGAACCATCGCGTTCGCGAGGGTCTTGTCGCGTTCGCGTAAGAGGATTTTAGTCAAAGTCATTTTTGTGCTTCGCGAACGCGAGGCTTTGACCGCGTTCGCGAAGAAGGATTTAAATGCCTGGGCAGAATGTTTTAAAAGGTCTATTTCGCGAATTTTAGCCTAGGTTACTCCATTGTTAGGCGATTTTGAAGCTTTTTGAAGAGGGTTGAAGAGGGATTCAATGGGAATCACTTGGAGGTAACATTTTTGACTTCATAACTCGTTTTTATGTGATTAAAGACCTAATTAGTGGTGGAAAATTTGGGAGAAATGGGTAATTAGGGCTTGAGTTTAAGAGACCTAGAAAGGGGTATTTGAGGGGTCAATTGAACTTCGATTTTAGTGTTCTTGTTATGCATAGACTCGTGAGAGTATGAGGATTCCGAAAATGTAAATTTTACCCGATTTCGAGACGTGGGCCTGAGGGGCATTTCGGTTATTTTACCTAATTTCGCGTGTTAGTTTAGCATTTGATTGTAGAATCAGTTGCTTGAAGTGTTATTTACAATATGCAATTGAATTGAATAGATTTGGGCCATTTGGAGTCGGATACTCGTGGCAAAAGCGTGGTTTCGGGTTGACTTGCGCTTGTTCGAGGTAAGTGGCTTGTCTAACCTTGTGTGGGGGACCTTTCCCTTTAGGATTGATATTGTGATAATTGAAATGCCTTGTACGTGAGGTGATGAGCGCGTACTTGTGCTAATTATTGGAAATCTGGTTTTTATTTCATTAAAAATAGCCTTGAATTGTGTTCTTCTTTTCTTGCTTACACTACTTGGAAATTTAGCCTACTGTTAGTCTAGAGAAGCATGTCCACTTGACTAAATTATTCTATTTGACTTAACTGCCTTATTTGTACTACGTGAAGCATGCGAGGTTAGAATTATATGTCTGACTTTGGTCTGAAATTGATTGAATTGAGTTCTTGTTGCTGCGTGTATTTACTTTGGGACTACGGGACGGTATCCCGGGAGCTCCCCTGTATGTTTACTTTGGGACTACGGAATTGCATTCCGGGAGATCCCCCTGCACTTTTACATTGGAACTACGGGATTGCACCCGGTAGATTTCCCAGTACTGAGTATTTATATTTGGGACTACAGATGTGGTATTCCGGTAGATCCCCGCGCATTTATGAGTTGGACTACGGGACTGCACCCGGGAGATCCACTGGATATGATATTTATATTTGGGGACTACAGGACGGTATCCTGGGAGATCCCCGGTTGTTATCTTGGAGCTGAGCTGTATTCTTTTACTGTGTTTTGCTTGCCTCTGTAATAGCTGTTGCTGTCCTTCATATCTTGTGTTACTTATTTACGCTGTTTATTTCACACTGTTAAACCTTATATCTTATTTAACCTCAGTAGGGCCCTGACCTTCCTCGTCACTACCCAACCGAGGTTAGGCTTGGCACTTACTGAGTACCGCTGTGGTGTACTCATGCCCTTCCTGCACATGTTTTTCATGTGCAGATCCAGGTACTTCGACTCAGTCCTACCACCCCTGAGGCGAGGCGACTGCTATAGCGACTTCGAGGTATATCTGCCGCGTCCGCAGACCGAGGAGTCTCTTTCTATTCTTGCTGTTAGTATTAGCCCTTCTGTATTTCAGTTCTTGTTAGACATTCTGGAGTTAGAGCTATGTAGTACTTCTTAGCTTGTGATTCATGGGTTTCCGGGTCTTGGATTTATGTGTTGGTTTTTGAGAGTTAAATATGGTGTATGCCGAGCGGCACATTTATACACTGGTTATTTCTTATTTCTGATTTAAATTGTTTTACTTCCGCAAATTTGGTTTTCTTTTCCGCAATTTAGGCTTACCTAGTCGTAGAGACTAGGTGCCGTCACGATGGTTCACGGAGGGCGAACCGGGGTCGTGACAGGGCTTTAACTTTTTAATTTTTTTATTATATATTTGAAGTTTGTTTTTTTAAGCTTTTCTTAGATACAAAGTTATTAATAATTAGTATTTCTCAATACCATTTTGACCTTTCTTGTGACGTTGTTGTTCTTAGGTAAGATTTTATCAATTTTAATTTTGAAAACTTCTTTCTGCTGAATTAACGGTAACATGAGTTATGAACATTATTCCATAAACAATTTAGGTATTTGAAAAAGAATTAAATCTCTTTATTTGATTAAGTGTATCAATTAAACTGTTACTAATTGTACTATTTTTCTTAATACTTTTAATTCAGAAAATAAATTTAAACCATCAATATCGAATTGATTATTATGCTTTAAGGAACATTCGAGACTAAGGACTATTTTTTAAATTTTCAACATCTAGTGATTTTGTTTTTACTGCCAAATAGAAACAAAAATATTTTCATATGCATCGAATTGTTCAAATCTATTTTGAAGTGAAAAAATAGTCTTGTCTATTGTGTATAAAAGTAATCAACTCTAAAGGATTTTTCGAAAGATTTTGAGATTTCATTATCAACATTCGCATCAAATTGTTACTTCCTACATATCATACGTCTCTTACGAAATTCGGGTTCGATATTCATTTCAAGTGCAATTTCCTTGGTAGAAATCATAGTAGTTGCAAATCCTTCTTCTCTATATTTGTTAAAGAAAGAAATCAAACTTTTTCACTTTACAGAACTCTTTTTTAAACTTATACATAGTCTATTAGGTGTAACAAAAAATGGGACCCCCACAAATATGGGGCCTAAAGCGGTTGCTTTACTTGTTTCATGGAAGGGCCGCCCCTGAGTCTTGTAGGTTGGTACAGTGATATATGTACCACCTTTTTTTCTTAACAGAAAAACTTGATAGTGTTGTTGCAACACAGAAAATGAGGTATACCAAATGCATTGCGCGCGGTGGTCCATCCCATGAGCAGTTGTTGGGGAAAATTGAAAGCAGCAGAGCAAAATGATAAAGTCTCCACAGTAGAGATTGCCAAGGTTACAAAATTCAAAAGGGAAAAGTGCCAAATATGTCCCTCTATCTTCGGATATTGTCTGCATTTAACCTCCATTATACTATTCCGTCAAATTTACTCATGCTATAATACTATCCGGCCAAATTTACCCCTACCATCACCAAACTTTTAAAAATTATCCCT